ACTTCTCCCCAGAAACGTTAGAGGAGCAGTTGGCAGGTGGAGAGTTCTCAAGAACAGGTGGGCAATCAGTGAAAACAAGAATGCAAGAAATGTCTACATAAAGCAAGAAGCTCTAAGGCTCAGGGTTAGAACATCTGGCTCTCCACTGCCTCAGAGGTCTTGCTGAAGTTACTTCCTGCAGGAAATCTGGAGTAAGCATGTGCAATAGTAACAAGATACCAAAGGAGCCTTATATAACGTTCTGCACTACATCTTCCAAACAATAATTTCCACGTTTTTCTTTTCAATACATACATTTGGAGAAGTAACAAACTCCAGATCCCACAAGGTGATCTCTCTGCTGTGGACTTTAATTGCAAATAACCAACAAAAACAACAAATAAGCAACTTCTATTTCCACTTCTATTAAATAGGACAATTCAGTTTAGAATGGCTATCTTTCTGTCAAAAGACATGACTAGGCACAAGGAACACCCTCTTTCACCACAGTTTTTACCATGGACATTGAAATTCCATAAAAGTTAAAATAATCTCCTCAATTTCTTCTCATGTAAAATGGAATTCAGAGTACTTTGGGGTTTGTTGGGCTGTTTTAGTTTTTTTTTTTTTTTTTTAAATGCTTTGCAGGACACTTCTCAGATTTCCTGCTTCTAAAATGCCTCAAAGGGAAGTCCAGTCTAAAAATGAAACCACATCATTACTTCCTCGACAGAAGTCTGATTCCAAAGTAGATACAACATCTCTGCAAGCATTATCATGACATGTAACCCAAAAATTTGTTTTAAATTCATCTCAACTCAAAAGATTGGTATAATAATTAATTGGAGCTGGTTTATTTTAACTTTTAATTTAATTTGGTAGACCTTACTTGTCTGCCTTAAAGACTAAGAGCACATGTGACCTCACTACAGAGTCTATGTCAAGGCAAAGAATGCACATTCAAAATCTCATGTACGATCAAGTTGTTCTGAATATCTCTTTTAGCTTATTAGTGAGAAGGTGGAACGATAATTCAAGAAAACCAGTGAAAGAAAAAGGGCAGGTTTGCAATTAGGTGCTTAGACTTTGGGCCAAAGAAATTCATAAGCTTCTTCCTCCTCTGCTGTTTCTTGCTCTTCTCCTACCACAATCTCAGTTGAAGGGAGGCCGGCCACTGCAGGCATCATGAATGCAGTGCTACAGGAGTGGCATGATGGAGGAATGAATGGCTTCCTCGGCATCAAGGGACTTTAAGAGCCTCCTTCCTTCACCTCCCCAAAGCTTGGTAACTCCAACTCACCAAGTGTGAGGTTATTTAGAATGGAGAGGGGCACTACCCACCAACATCCTTGCTAAAATAGGTATTTCTTACCCCAAGACAAACTATAGAAAGGAATGCTATTTTGAGCTCCTTTGAACTTAGGTAAGAGACAGCTAGTAGTGCCATAGCTCTTTTCTGAAGTATATGCACAAGATGAAAGTGAGATAGGTATGGAGTAGACAGAGGACCTTCTTTATCACTTGTAGACTGATCTGTCAAAATCCAGCCTGCAATTTCACATATTTTTCTCTTTTTTTTTTTTTATTTTTTTATTTTGAAGGGGAGGTGGGGCAGAGGGGGACAAGCAGGAGGTGTTTTTCCAAACCTGTAAATGCAACATTCAGCAGCCAAGCTCAAAAGTTCCTGCTGCTCCTGCAAAAAAAAAGGACAAACAAGCCCTTTTCATGTCAGCTATGTCCAGCTGGAAATGTCACAGCTTTGTCACAATGGAACAAAGCATGCCTGGTGTCTGTTCTTTCAAAAGGTCTCTTAATTCAAACAAAAGAAAAATATTCACATCTGGAAGGGGTCATAGGCAGGGGGCGGGAGTGAAGGAAGCAAAGTTCAGATGGCAAGTCATAGCAGTTGCTGTTTGTCTTGCTGTTTGTCTAATTATTGTACTGCCTGTTCTGGCACTTATCGATCTAGTTAAAGAAAGAAAGCCAAGAGTTAAAACAGCAATTTTATTATTGATTAACCTCAGAGGGCCAGATGAGACACACCTCTTCACTTTTGCTCCATTCATCATGCTGGAACACTTGAGCTGAGTGAAAAGACTCCTTGTGATCACTCTGGCAATAGTTCCTCTTTTTTTCCCACCCTCCTTTTCTTAATAAAGAAAAAAAAAAATATTGTTGTGTATGGAGTCCAAGCCTCCTTTAGAAGACCACAGCCTTTGCTTTCAGAGGATGTACATATTGAAATCCTGCCCTTTCCAGTGGGTTTATCTGACCATCTGTTTCTGCAGAGATTAAAACCTCATAATGACTGCAGAGTTGAGAGGCCGCATCAGAACTGAGCCACAGGAAGATCAAAAATTAAATGCCTAGGGAGATCAGATTAAAGGAAAAGAGAGTAGGACTTCACTGGCTAGGCATGAAGGGCCAACATAAGAGTTTGCATTACACTCCCAAATTAAAAGTTTTCTCCTTCAAAATTCAGTGTTCCTGAAGATGAAAACTCCATCCTAGGTTGCCACCTAGCTAGTTAATTTCTTGTATTGTTTTAGGAGCTATTTTAAAAAGCTCTTTTGCTCCAGTCCTTACTGCATTGACTCCTCCCTTTTGAGCTGGTATTTTGTCAGGAGTTTCAAGAGCGATAAAAACTTGCTGCCAAGTCCCTTTCTTCCCCACAATGTGTTTTATAACCCAGCGTGTAGTTTAGTCTGTCTAAACACTGCACTAGTACACTGCCATCAGTTTCCATGGAGATGATTAACTCCTCCAGAGCCAGAAAGCTTTGGTGTGTTTTTTGCCTTTTCAGCACATGAAGAACATGACAGCATTTACTAAAATCAGCCTGCAGAAACATCACATTTTCCAGACAGTTCTAGCAAATGTAAGGATTTGCTTTTGCTTCCGTCCATCACACAGAGCTGCGGTCTTAACCAAACCTGCATTTAAGTCATCTACTAGAATGAGCTGCTCTTTCCCCTTCTGTTTCTCCTCTATTGCATTGCTGTGATGTCTGAAGGCTTGACAGACCCACCGACATCAACTTTTTGAACTACTATGTCTCAGATCAAAGCCAAGGCATGCGATATAATGAAGAGTCCAGAGGAAAGAAAGGAGAGATAAAGGAGATGACTTTGAACTCAAGCAGAAATCAGAGTAGAAAACAGAAAACCTTTGTGCCCTAAAGTTTAGGAGCACCTTTACCATACTCCTAGACACTTACACATCTAGCAAAAATACACTGTCAGTGTGTATTCACAAACAAAAAATTAACATCATTTGAAGAAGTGGAATTAAACTGAAAACTACCCTTAATCTGATATAACATGACCTAATAAGAGCAAGAAAGTAGACTTTCTCCCAAAATGCAGCTAATGAAGGCCACATGCTGTCATCAGCTTTAGCTGTAGAAAAATGGTTTCCCTGTCTCACAGAAAGGACGATCTCCCTGGCATTTGCCACTTAGGTGGCACGCTTGTTAATCTCAACTATGAAAATGGAAACAAAACTTTGAATATCGCAGTTTCTTGGAAAAACTCCCCAGTATAAAACTATTTTATAAATATTTTCCAGACTATCATCACTGAAGCAAACTGTAAGCTTCCCAGCACTTTTAACATGTAATGCTTTTTTTGGCATTCAAGAGCAGATACACTATAAAAACTAGACATGAATAACCAGGCATAACTGAAGTTTCTGTAGAAGAATTAAAGGCAAGAGAGATATTTTTTTTGCCAGTAAGCTTGGCTAACTTGAAAGAGCCACTGGCATGGTTCATAGCAATGGGTGTTCTGCTGCAGCAAGAACTATCTTCTTTCTATTTGACTTCCAGAGCAGTTGCCAGGAGGTTTTCTTTGCAGACTCAGCTTGGAGTCAGTACTGTGTGGGTACCAGCAGTGCAAAGTCCCCCAGCTCCTTTTACACTGTGCTACTAAGACAACCTACAGAGGTTCAAGGCTTCACTCTTGAGTCCACTCACAACTGCAGAAGTGGCAGCCTGTACTTACTGTTAGGTGGACATGTGTCCAGTATTAACTCAAAGGACACCACTAATTGATTTCACGTGCTTTGTCACAGGACACTTACCAAGCAGCAACTGTACTTGGTTAACCACCCTCGGCTACAAACAAACCAAAGAACTTGAGACCAGAGTCTCCATTACCTCCTCCTCAGACATTCTGGGTGTTCCCCTTGTCCCCTGTCTAAAGTTAGTGAAGACCCCTAGGGATGCTAAAACCCACAGTGGAGAACATCAGCCAGGATCCCGTGAAAGTGTTCCAACTTTCCAAAAAGCACGCACGTTTGCGCACCTCCCACAGCTGCAAAGATCACAACGTCCCACGCAGGAGTGGAGGCACTCATTCGTTACCTGGTTCTCCAGCCCTTCCCGAAGTTACCGGCACAGCACCCCAACCCGATGGGAGCTGCACCTTCTGCCACCGACCAGCACGGGCTTGAGAGAACTTGTCCTAATCCTGCCTCCTACTACTTGTCACCAGGTTGCGGAGGAAATTTCAGCTCCAATTGCGTTTTTGTCTTGCTGTAGGAAACAAGCCACTCTAACTGATTTCTTTAAAGTTCTTCTCGGAGAGGCTGCCCGCTGTGGGACAGGGCCTGATGCCGCAGCACGCCTTGTCCCCCCCCACCCTTCAGGAGGGCAGGGCGGGGGTCTGCCACCACACACCTCTCCTCTTAATAACCCAGGCATACGCAGCAGCTACTGAGCCAGAACCTATCTCGAAAGGTCAGGTCACCCCTCGCCGGTTTAAGCCACCCCACCACTGTTTCCACTGGGTGCCTCGTAGGACAAAGGCTTTACCGGTGGCGACAGCCCGACTGCTGCACGCACCCCCTCGGGGTCCCACGGAACTTTCTAGACAGGCGGGCTTCGCAGCAGAGGGGCTGGCGCCGCCTCCCCACGCGAGGAGCCTCGGCTCCCCCCTCAGGGAGCCCTCCCAGCCCCGGCGGGGCCGCTTCACCCCGGGCGGCTGAGGGGCGAGGAGGCACCGCCGGCCCGCGGCACTTACCGATGTCGGAGTTGCAGAAAGCGTCCTGCGGGTGGATGGGGACGCAAGTGCAAGCCTCCACCACCAAGTCCCGCAGCCTCCAGCTGCAGAGGAGCACGACGAGGAAGCTCAGCCACGCCGTCATGTTGCGCCCCCTCCTCTAACACACACACGCGCACACACACACAGACCCCGCACCCCTCGAAGGTGGCTCCTCGCTTCTGCGGAGCAGGAGGGGCAGCCGCTGTTGCGTTCGCCTGACTTTCTTCTAGCTTCCTAACAGCCGGCGCGCCGCCGCTGCCTGCCTGCCTGCCTGCCTGCCTCCTCGCACTGCCCCTCTCTGGCGCTAGCCCGGGCAGCGCGCAGCCTTCGCTCGGCGGGACGGCGCGCAGCCTGAAGGGCACGGCGGGTCCGCGGCTGAACCAGCGGCCGAGGGGGTACGGCGCGGCGCCGATGCCCAGCGACGCGGGGCCGAGCTGCGCTGCGCTCCCACTGCCCCGCGGCGGGCCGGTGCGCGAAGTTATAGCCCCGATCAGCGCCCTCTCGGGCTCCGGGGGCGCCGCCGCCCCCGGCCAATGGGAGCCCCGCATTACCTCATCGGCGGGAGCGGCCAGCGGGGCGGGGCGGGGCCGGGCCGCCGCTTCAGCGCCATATACGGAATAGTGCGGGGAGCGCCGCGCGCGGGCGGGCGGCCGTTGGGCGCCCCGCGGCCGTTGGGCGCAGGGAGCCGGCCGCCCTGAGGCGAGGTTCCCGTCCCCAGCCTCCGTCCCCTCTCGTTCCCGCCGGGGAGGTTCAGGCTCTTATAAAACTAGTTGTGCTTCTGAGGTATCGGCCAGGATCCGTCCCGCGGCTGCCAGTGCGCGGACGGCTCTGGCCCCGGCCCTGAGAAGTCGTGTGTGTCGTGTCCCCTTCCCCTCTGCCACCCCAGTCAGTCAGGACCTGCCTCCCCTCGGCCGCCCCGCTCTTCACCTCAGGGTGTGAAGAGGCACCCGGAAAACACAAGCGGGGTCGGTTGTTCGCTTGGAAAGCCTGGGCTGTTTCCCTCGAAACCATCTCGCCTGTGTGCAAGCTGCTCTTAACCTGGAGGAGGTGAAAGAGTATTCCAAAGGGCCTTCAGAAAGCCATCAGAAAACGCAAAACGAGTGCGGGGTGTTGCTTCTTTCACTCTTTCAATAGGCAGTGAAAGGAGGATGGAGGAGAAGAAAGACAAGACCTAGCTGAATTTCATCCTGCGGTTTTTAGTCCTCCTCAAACGCTCCTCCGGTCACCCCACCACCACCCCCATCACTTGCCCTTCTCAGGGCTTTCATTCAGAAAGGGGTCATAAACTGCTAAAATGGAGCTGGAAAAAGTAGTGTCATATCTACCCAGGCACTCCCAATATTTAATCTCAACATATATTTTAGCAGGGCAGCTTTAGTGGAATTTATAGAAAAGTCCTGTTTGTTTTGTTTTCCCTTATCCCCTTTTGGAACAGTAAATTTCTATCAGCTGTAGAAATGTAAATGTTATAGAAGAGCTGGGACTGTAAGGAAGGAGATTGCCAGCTGCAAGATACAGCCAGCCTTATTATCCTGCAAAGGGGACTGAGGGGTGATTAATCACAGTATCAAACCAGTGTATATAATGTCAGAGTACTTTCCACGGGGTTTACAAGACTTAAGCATGTCTAGTTATAAATTATGCTGGTATTAAAGGCCAGGGACCAGCTGTCCTAAATTTCTAAATAGTCAGCTAAGTCTTTAGATTTACAATTTTGCTCCATCTGGGTGAAGCACAGCCTGCCTACACCTTTTCTTTAATCATACCGTCCATATAAAATTAAAACCTCCAGTCCTATGGAAACACGGGCTTTTATTTGGAGCATCGGTACACAAAAGCTTCAAGATGGGTGTTGCTAGTAGAGATCAAGGTTGCAATGCTAACAGTGGGAAACGCAGGTTCCTACCCTTGCTGTGACATAGAGGACCTGTGTGACAGCTTTGCCTTTCTGTGCTTCAAATCCCAGTCTGTGTAATGGGGATAATAGTGATGAGAGCTTCTCAGGAGTGTCTATTAGTGAACACCCTGAAAAAATCCGATGGTGTTGAGGTGCTAACGGGTCATATGAGTATGTATGAGGCAGGGTATTAAACAGGACATTCAACTGAGACATGTAAATGTCTGGATCATTCAGCTCCAAATTGCAATATGAGAAACCCTATGCAAAAAACGCCTTAGGTTCTTGGACTGTCTGCTCAAGGTGCTACAGCTGAAGTTGAGTCCGTCAGGTTTGACTGTCATTTCAGTCTCACTGGGTGTAAACAAGGAACAACTCCACCAACCTCAGCGTAGTAACATGGAAGAAAAATGAGGTGTGTCTGGCACTTCCAGTTTTTTCTTTGTTGTTGTAAAAAGTTTGATATCACCAACATCATGATACGCCTGGTCTATCAACATCTCAGATCAGTATCTGAGAGAAATTGAGTTATTCTATAACCTGACACTGGTGTAAATAAGAGAGAGTTTGGCCCACACACACCTAGATTATAATCACAGCCACAGCACCACCTCCCTTCACTCTCAGGCCAAGTAACTCCTCTGTTTCTTCATTTCTATAATAACACCTTTCCTGCATGTTCGGAGGACTAACAAGCTGAATGCTTTGTAATAAGCATTAAAGATACTGAGTACTGTGTGAATGCTAAGAGTGACTATAATACACAGATGCAGGACACATTCAGATGATACTGAAGAACAAAACCTTCACTTTCCTTCTCAGTTTCTGAAAAGGGAGTGGAAGGGGGCTAGAAGTTACTGAAGTTACACAGGGCCCTCCAGACATGGAAGTATCTTGTTTACAGTGAGACTGACCATGCTTCTTAAAGTAACACCAAGTTTGCGCTAATTACAGCAACTAGTTCACACTTCAGATAGAACCCAGAGAAGTAATCTGCCATTATTTTTCAGGATGAAAAGGAGTGCCACAGCTTGATCCAGTGGATGGGCACATCTGTTTGGAAGGGATGGTGTGCAGGCTGTCTGTGTGACAAGGCTTACCACTATTTGAGAAGTGATCCAGGAATTTTTTAATGCATGTATCAGCATTGCCTGGAGTAGTAGTACCTGTGTTCGGTCAGTTAGGGCTCAGCTGATTCACCTGCTTTTTTGACACTTAGATACTCTCTTTTCAAAGAGATGAATTTCCCTATAGTAGTAGGGATACAGGTTTTTCAACCAGGACTGGATACTGTACAATAATAACAATATTTATTTGCCACTTAAAGGGTACATTTCATACACAGAAACCAGAATGCTTTATCTTAGTAAAACACGGGTAAATATTACTCAAGAAAGCTCAATCTGGCCAGTGGCCTGCTGGGAGGCCTTGGTTAAATCATTTAACCTGCCTGTACACTTATGTTATCATCCGTAAATAGAGATATTGTGTATTATCCTCTGATAATATCTATTAGATATTTGATATTAGCCTCTCTCTTTTGAGATCTACTGGTAAAGCGCACTCTGGGAGAACCAGGCAGGGATTCTGAGTGTTTATTTATATGAGAAAATTTTGATAATGGTGTCAAAGTAGCACAGAAAGTCAATGAAGGAACTGAAAGGAGAACTCTATCTGAATTCCCACTCTATGCCCTGGCTGCATGGGAGAAACTTCAGAGGGAAAAAATAAAAACTAGCATTCAGCTCCTTTGTCTAGATAAAACTTTAAGCCTTATATGGCTATACTAAATGTAGCAGAGTAAGGAGGAAGAAAATTAAGCCCTTGATCTTCATATGGGCAAATTAGAGTTCACTTTTGGTTAATGTCGCCAAATAAAGAAATCTGTGTTGTTCCAGTCCTCCACCAAGAACACACTGTTGAACACAATTAAGGAAATCTCTGCTTTACCGGGCAGCCACACCACTTCATGCTGTGATCTTGTCAGATCCCACGAGCTCGGCATGACTGGGCTGGGTCAATAGTTGGTGTGAAAATTCCCAGCGAAAGCCATGTCCTGCAGGTGTTGTTGACTGAGCTAAGTGGCCCTCTTCCCTCCATCCTGCATGAATGTGTAGAGACAGTGCTAGGGGGCACTGCGCTGCAAGAGATGGTTGCATTTTTTTTGCGGATGAAGCTAGGTTTCTTGCAATATCTAAAGAACTGACTCTTTGGAAAGGCAACAATGTTAAGCTGGGTATCTTGGTTAAATTTCAGGAGAGTGAACTACCTTCTGCTTCCATGGATACTCACTGAAGTTTATATCGGGAGCATATTAATCTAATTTTCCTTCCACAAGTCCTGTTCATGGCTGGAAAGGACCATCGCGGAGCTAACTGCAGAGACTGAGATAAAAACACTTTGGGATATTCCTTTAAAAGGCATAAGGTGTTGCTGTAAATGAACTAAATGCATATTCACTTCCCTTCTGATTACATTTCCTTGTGAGGGATACTGGCTGCTTCAGAACTGACAACAGCATCTGAATGTAAGTAGTACAGAAGGGCTTCACTGAACTGCTGGCCAAAAAAACAGAGAGAGACAGAGAGAGAGGAAAGAAAGGCAGGAAGAAAGGAAGGAAGGGAGGGAAGGAGAAGAAAAGAGAGGAAGAGAGAAAATGAGAGAGAGGGAAAAAAAATACTCCCCTGCTACCACTACCACCAGAGAAAAAAAGAGTCCTGACAACTGAGCTGAAAACACTCCAGCTCAGCACCAGACCTCAGCTGGCTTAAACTGAGCATGGCATGAATGAAGTCAGGAGATTTTGGCCTGCAGTCCAAACAGTCCTGCCACCTCCTTAACAATATATTAATTTTTAAAGCTTCTAAATTATGGGCATTTTTCCATTTTAACTTTTCCACAGTAACTTGTCTTGATTCATGGGCATGGAGTCCTGCCATCAGCATTCAAAACTGCCCAGCTACCAAGTTGCTCAAAAGCCTCCTCTTGTCCTAAAAACTCTTCTTGAAGCTGACAATCCTCCTATCCTTTACACCAGCTCAGCATCACACCTTCTAGGAGATAGCATTGTTTTTCTGCTTTTATGCAGCAGGTGTGGGAGAGGATAGGTGTTTTCGGAGCCATCTGATGTCCTTTTTGACAGCACGCTCACGCCATCCCATAGGGCAGTACAGAGTGGTCATGCATTGCATTAGCAAAAGTGTCTCGTATTTCCTCAATATCTGTTTCTTTTTCAGAATGTCTTTTTTTTTTTTTTTTCTGACACAGTCCTTTGAAAAGACTGTTTTGTTTAAAATGTTTGTATTTGCTATGATTTATAAGTGTGAAAAAAAGTTGAAAAACTCCTCTATTAATTCCTCCTTTGTATCAGTGAACTTCATATGCTACTTAAAATAAGAAGACTCTTTCTTCAAAAATGTCTTTGATTCTATAAATACATATGAAAAAAATTTGTTTGATCTCTTTCTCTGAGGTTGCAAAGGAATTATGTCACCTTCCTGTCTGCAAGCCAGACATAGGTAACTCTCTATCCCATTCCCAAGCTTTTAATTAGAGGTACACCATTAAACCTTCATCAGCTCTAACGGTACTATACTGTGTTCAGTCTTCAAGGATCCTTTGCAGA